TACCAAATAAAACAACCAACTACAGCTGATTAGGTTGAAAAACGTGCCTAAATCCCCAAAGGAGGCTTCTTGAAATTTTTGCTTCGAACATTTTCTACTCGATGATCATCCAAAATATAAAATTTCAGCCAAAGAAGTATTGATTATATTAAATTAGAAGAATGCTGTTAAAGACCGTGTTTAAGATCTTCAAAATACCGAATATTGAGGGCTACCATGGGCCAATATTAATATATTGGGAAAGGTAATTAAATCCGAAAGTCAAACTTATATGTGCATTTAAATTTATTTAATTTATTTTTTTTTCAAAAATGGCAGCAAGACTCGCTCATAAACATCAAGTTGTAGATGTTTAGTACTTCTATGTTACTTTATGCGTGCTCTGATAAATACCAAAATATTACAAAGAGCAGTACACTATACATTATGGTGTAGGTAAAAAAAACAAATCTAAAATGCCGAACATTTTACACCAACAAAATTGCTAGGCAAGACAACGTTTGCCGGGCCCGATTTTTTACTTTACTGCATTTTTTTGAAAATATGTTTAAAAAGGCTTTTTAATTTAGTTAAATTATGTAATTAAGCACCGATAAAATCATTTACAGATAAACATTTTTGAAAAAAAAATCTGTAAAATCTATTAAAATTGCCAAAAATTTGTACAGTACACCTAACATTCAGAAAATAACCCTGATTATAGAAAATAAAAGTCCGAATGCACCAGAAATTGCTAGAATTAATAGAAAACAATAAATAATTTTCAAAATAAATAAATATTTGAAATAAAAACTCAAAAAATGGAAATTTCCCTAAATGAAAGATTCAATTTCGGTAGTCTTTATTGAAGAAGGTCGGAATATTTTTGAAAAAATATTGATTGATATTGCCATTTATTATACCAAATCGATTGTTCGAGTAGTACAGAATATATTTTATCAAAAAATATATCAGTCACAAAAGAACGAACAGAGATCAAAGCCTAAAAAAAAAACATTCTGGCCAAAATGTTTACCACAGTAAATGTTTTAATTACGTGACCACCACTGTAGGTTATTTTTATGTAGGATTCCTTATGCTTCCTTTCCCCTCCACTTTTCTTAGCATATATTAGTTGTTTGCATTAAATTTCATTTTGTAGAGTTTTTTACTGTTATGTATTTTTAATTTATTTAGTTTATTCTTTGTTTGGATTTTTTGTTATATAAATTAATATGTATACGTTATTGGCCATGCTGGCTTTTTTATATTACATTGGATGAAATAAATGAAATGAAAGGTTGAAGTCATTGCCATGGAACTTTTGAAAACTTCCCTCCGCAAAAAACCTCAGAGCTGCACACATTTTTAAGAGAGGAGGAATTCCTCTTGACCGTCGGACTTTTCGGACATCAGGGTTAAATGCTTCAAATAATAACACAACGGCATCTTTTGGTAACTGAAAATATGCCTTAAAGCTAAAATGAGCAGTTGATTGGACATTTTTCTAAACATAAATATCTACTCACGGTAAGGGTGGTAGTTCTAATGGATTGGATTTATCTCTTGAATGCCTTCTAATAGATGCCACGCCTTGTACATCATTTTCGTCATCAAAAACCAGTTCCACTGAGCCTAACATCACTTAAATTAGTTTTTCTGAATTATTCTACTTCATTTTTTGTTCGTTTACAATTAGTCTGTTCCTGTACTGCAAGAATCTACGAGTTTTTACTATTTTTTGGTCTGTTCCCGTACTGCAAGAATCTACTCGATTTTACTATTTTCTTCGATATCATAAAGGAAAATTCGTTATCGTAGTAAAAAATAGTAGATTCTTGCAGTACGGGAACAGACCATTTATTTTTTACTATCGATATCATAAATGAAAAAAGAAAAGATGCCTTGGCATAATTATTGATGATAAACTAACATTTGACAGCCATATCGACAACGTTGTAAACCACACACATTTAGCATTACGCCAACTGTACAACACTGATTTAATTTTACCTCGCAATGTAAAGTTACAACTGGTACATTCTCTAATTATGTCTCACATATTATATTGTATTGAAATTTTCTCCGGTACAACTAAAACGAATATGAAAAAATTAAAATGTTGATTCACCGAGTGGTTCGTTATATTTATTCACTTAAAAGGCTTGATCACGTAAGCCCGAAAGTAAAACTATTCCTCGGCTGCTCTTTTTGGCGATTTATAGACAGCAGATCATTAATGCTGTTCTATAATGTTACTAAAGAACAAACTCCCGATTTTCTATTGCATATGTTTCCCTTTTGTCGTTCAAGCAGATCCACTCAATTAATAGTTCCCAGAGCTATCGGATTTATGTATAAATCATTTCATGTGCGAATCTCTAGAACATTCAATAACCTTCCGCATTCTCTAAAGAAATTTTCATTATCAAGCAGCACATATAACACAAAAATTATAAACCACTTCGGTTTCACATAAATATACGCATAACATAAATAAATAAATGTATAAGCTTTCCACAATATCTGTGAAAATTAAAATTGGGCATGCTAATTTGATTGACAATTTCATTAAAATCGGCCTTTAAGGCTTCTAATTGCATTTTTTGAAATAAATATATTAAAATTATAATGCTATGTTAAAAATGTATTTGGAGTAGCTCTCAGTTTTCTATTTAATTCATAATGAATATGTACGTGTAGTCAATTAAAAAACTTCATAATATTATATGTTCGGATTATCAATACTTTATAAGATATAGTCATTAAGATTTTATTATTACATGAAGTAGTATGCTTTGCAATTTATCTAAAATCGGCCTTTGAGGATTCAAATTGCATTTTTGAAATAAATAAATAAAAGTGTTATCGCAGTAAAAATAGTAGATTCTTGCAATACAGGAACAGACCATATGTTACGTTTTATTTCAGTGGCGTTGCCAGTTGAATTTGGTTGCTTTCCATAACTCGAATAATCGACCCATAAATTTCTATCACTTCCACACCTTTCCTATAATTGAGCCATTGCCACTTATTGGTCTGTTCCCGTACTGCAAGAATCTACTATTTTTTACTCCGATAACACTTTTTTCCTTTATGATATCGAGGAAAATAGTAAAATCGAGTAGATTCTTGCAGTACGGGAACAGACATTATATGTGTAACACATATGAAAATGCTAGGAATTGCAAGTTATTCCATGAAGAAAGATTTGTTTCCTCAAACATTCCCAGCAGGCAAATTGTGTAAAATGAATACGGGAGGACATTTAATAAAGAAAAAATTCGTATTGTATCCGTTACCAATTTTCCTGTTGGGTGATTTTTAAAAACATAATTTGCCAAATTCATATCGACACTAGTATTACGTTGGAATCAAATCATGGTACAATTGTTGTACAACAACCTTCCATTATTATACCATGGAATCAAATCAACTGGGATTTGCAGATACCTTTTATAATTGTACCATGCAGCCCAATGAATACCTTTTAATATAAAAATTCTATATTGAACAAGGAAACGATAACATAAACGATCGAAGTTGATATGCGTTGCGCTTCGGAGTTAAAGGGCTAATGCCATGTTCTGACGGGCATTCGAACAACGTAGTTCGCTCTCAGAATTACGTACACGAATTAACCCGTTCATACAACACTATTCTTAATTCATGTCATCAGAGTTATTTTATTTCAAACTGTTTGTTTCTTGTTTTACACCAAAATTGTAACATATTTGCGTGAATCACATATGGATCTAAATAGAAAAAATAATTCTCTTTCTCCTGAATATAATATCAACCCCTATCTCTTTACTTTTGATTCATGTTTTCCATTTTTCCTGAAAATATTGTTGTTTTCAATACATTTTTATATTTTCTCACCTCAAATGTCAAATTAAAAAAAAAATGGAGAATTTTTGTTCCCCACTTTTGTCTCTTGTTTTGTACGCTAATTAGAACAAAGGGGAAAGAAATGCATATTGCATCATGTAGACAACAAAATTTACATCCTTCTGCATATATAAAAACTAGCATTTTGTTTACTTTTCAATCATTATTTTCAATTTTACTGAAAAAGTTTGAAAATTTAAAAATTTTTTCATGCTGTTAAAATTAGTTTATTTTCGATAAATTCTCTCAATTGTTAGAGATGGGACAAAATTCTTGGTGATTCAGAGAGTGATTCGAATTGAACAACGTACAAAAGTAGGTGTTCGCTCAGACAATTTTGTATAGGGAACTAAGTAATTACTTCATAATTAAGGGTCGAACAACGTGGCATAAGCAGAATGCTCGCGTTGAACCATCCGTCGCGTTATTTGTTATCGAAAATACAACAACCACAAGGAAACGATAACACAAACGCTCAAAGTTGCTGTGCGCTGCGCTTCGGAGTTAAATATATTTTAACTTTTTGCATGCGTTAACGCGATAACAAAAAACGCTCAACGCGAACATTCTGTTTAGCCCTTAAAGGGCTAAGCAGAATGCTCAACGCGAACATTCTGCTTAGCTCTTTACAAAATCGAAAAGGTTTGCTATCATCGATTTAGATTCACACTTGCAACAACATCGGTATCGCATGGATTTCAGAAGCATGTTTAAACATGCTTTAAGATAACAGGACATTTTGGAAAATTGGCATCACCGTTAAATTGCTTTGATTGTTCGTCGATTATTGAAATCGATTTTCCGAGTTTCCCATGTCTACTTCTAAACATTTCCATTTCTTCAGCCGTGTACATCACACCTTATTCGTAAACAATCGTTTTGGGCCTTGCTTACAGTTTTTGTTTTATTAGGCATTCTCTCCTCTCTCATGTTTGTAGCAGGTGGAGCGTTTTTAATTTTAGTAAGACATCAGGGACTTGAGCAGTGGAGTTAGCTTTACTAACGAGATAATACATCTAATAATTATTGGGAACTGGGGTTTAATTCGCCTTTGAATGATATGAAATTGCAAAATATACTTATCGGTATATCCATAGTTGTTGCTACATACGTCTTATATTCAATTCATAATGAGCACTTTAAGAACTCGAGATTCGGATTTACCTCAAATCTTGGAACTGATAATGTTTATGAGTATGCTGAAACACAGTACCATATATATGTTCAAATTGTCACTTATGCATTTCATGAATATTTTCAGTAATAAATCACCAATTTATTACATAGCGGTGGTAGCGTGTGGTCAACGATTGCAAGAAACATTGACAATGATAAAATCGGCATTGATTTTTAACCCGAACAATGATCGGCTCCACTTTGTAGTGTTTGCCGAAGACCATTTAATTGCGAGTTTTTATGAAAAGCTTGGAGATTGGCAGTCCCTGTTTCCAGGGGCTTTCGACTTCCAAATTCTGCCACTTCAATTTCCTCCTAATGGTTCGGAGTGGAGAACGCTGTTTAAACCATGCGCGGCACAGCGTCTTTTTTTGCCGGTAAATTATGTTTACAAACGTTATGTATAGATGTGATAACCTATTTTGTAGTCTTTGCTGCAATCGATTGAAAGTCTGTTGTATGTGGATACAGACATTGTATTTTTATCCCCTGTTTCGGACGTTTGGAGTTTCTTCACAAAATTCAATGAAAGCCAAATAGCTGCACTTACTCCAGAGCACGAAGACGCGAATATTGGGTGGTACAATCGTTTCGCTCGTCATCCTTATTATGGATCGCTTGGTGTAAATTCGGGAGTCATGCTCATGAATTTGACTCGCATGCGTCATTTTAAGTGGGAAGAGCATGTTCTTCCCATATATAAGGAGTACAAATTAAGAATAACGTGGGGTGACCAGGATATCATCAATATTCTCTTTTATTACCATCCAGGTGCATATATAATACATTGGCGCTTTTTCCGCAAGTTAATTAACACGATATCTATTTCAGAAAAATTATATGTATTGCCGTGTGAATACAACTACCGCCCCGACCATTGCATGTATATGAGTGTTTGCAGTTCGGCGAATGGAATAAAAATTCTTCACGGAAATCGCGGTTATTTTCATTCTGGCAAACAACCTCTTTTCCGTGTAGTATTCGAAGCTATCGAAAGTTATCAAATTGGCTCGGATCCATATAGCCATTTTCTACTGCCTCTAAAAGAAGCCTTAATGGAACCACATGTTGCCGATTCAAATTGTGGCAAAGTTTCAAAATTAGTGACTTTAATTGCAAGCAAACTTTTGGCAAATGACAATATGTAAATTGCTATTAGAATAAAATAGAGTTATAAGTATACTGGAATTCCGTCATATATTTTAAGGTATATTAATTTGTAAAATGCTTTTACTAAATGTTGTGTTACTGAGAGTTTACGATTTTTACACGGCTTTATCAGTATTCTAGCACAAATTATTGAGTAATTTTAAACTTAAGGATGAAAGTTTTGACTTTGTCATTTTTTATACCCTCCACCATAGTATTAAGGGTAGTTTTAGTTTTGTTTTCCGTTTGTAACACATCGAAATAATCATTTCTGACCCTATAAAGTATATTTATTCTTGAAGATTTAAGCATGTCCGTTGTAATCTGTCTATTGTAATAACTCTAGCGTCTAAACGAATTGAAATATATCGCCAAAATTTTGCATAGAGTTGTCTTTTGTCGGCAGGCAGGTCAAGTTCGGGCTATATCGGTCCACGTTTAGGCATAGTTCCCATATAAGGGTACACCCCAATTTTCTGTATTTTGAGGTTTTTGGACGCGTTTTTAAACAAAATCGCTGAAATTTGGTACTTTGAGTTCTATTGGGTGGGAAATCTCCCCACTAAAAATTATAAATAAAGGTAAATTTTTTCGGAGAGCACTTATATTTTAGGTATTTTGGGGTTCTTGGGCGCGTTTTATAACTGAATTCTCCGAAATTTGGTACATTGGGTTCTTATTTGGGTACCGAATTTCTTTACTAAATATATAAGTATATATATATAGGTCCACTTTTTCTGGCAGTCTCCATATAACAACCGAATTGGCTGTAATTTAGTACGTTGAGTTCTTATTGGGTATCAAATCTCTCCACTAATAATTATGAATATAGGCCAATTTATATATATATTAATATTTTTAATATATATTAATGGTCATACCCGATACATTTTCTGAAAGCCCTTTCAATGTCCTTTCCAACGGTATATGGAAAAGTGTCTCACTCTCACCCGTTTTCGCACACTGGGCACTGACTTTTTTCTATATATATATTTTTTATATATTTTTCTTAAGGGACCGTATATAGATATGTTTAATATATTTAGAGTCATACCCGATACATTTCCTGAAACCCTTTCAGTGTCCTTTACAACGGTGTATGGAAAAGTGACTCACTCTCACCCGTTTTCGCACAGTGGGCCCTGACTTTTTTTCTATATATATTATTTATATATTTTTTTAAGGGGCTGTATATGGATATTTTTAATATATTTAGAGTCATACCCAATAAATTTCCTGAAAGCCCTTTCAGTGTCCTTTACAATGGTATATGGAAAAGTGACTCACTCTCACCCGTTTTCGCACAGTGGGCCCTGACTTTTTTTCTATATATATTATTTATATATTTTTTTAAGGGGCTGTATATGGATATTTTTAATATATTTAGGGCCATACCCAATACATTTTCTGAAAGCTCTTTCAATGTCCTTTCCAACGGTACATGGAAAAGTGACTCACTCCCTACCGTTTTTTTCGACGCACAGTGGACCTCGACTTTTTACTTCCAGGTTCTTGATATCTTCCCACATTTACACCACCACCTTTAAATTTTTCTGTGATTGTAGCTAGTTACATAATTTTATTAAAAATGATAAAAATAATACTGTTTTCTTATACATATATCAATTGATTAGCAATTGTATAGCACGTATGTGTTCAAATTCAAATTTATTTTCACACACATCCGATTTTTAATATTTGGCGTAAAGAATTATATTGTTATATTAAAATATTAGTATCGAAATTGAGCTATATCACTCTTGAATTAGGTATGCCTCTTCATATAATGATAACTACAAATGTTCGGTATTTCTACACGATGTAATCAATATTGGTCCCGCTTTAGGTATATCCTCCAAGGACGTACTCATACATTTTTTTCTGCAATGACAATTTTTATATTGAACCAGCAGTTTTCTCCCAACCCCCCGAAGTGGATGTTGTGATGGCCTTATATAACTGTGACCTCTTAATTACAGTATTTTCGGGATGTTCCACCCTACAATGCGTCGTCAATATCGATTCACTTTTTTGGGTTTTTTTTCGGAAAAATATCCATTAAAAATCGATGTACACCAACACCGAATTGTCGGTATAGGTCCACTTTTTGGTGTGTTCCCAATATTTTTTTTCAAGTACTTGTCAGTATACCTATGGTGGAGGTTATCCCAAGTCCGGCCCGGTCGAACTTAACGTTTTTTTCGCTTGTTAAGTTTGAATTGTTTTCTATTCAACCTTAATCTGGACGTATATTTTTGGTGTATTATCTCGTTTTCTGCTTTCAAATTGTTTTAAACATTTCACAGTGAATTTGTTCGCATTGTTTTAAATGAAGTTTAAAGGTGAGAAAATTAGTTATTCTGAATCAAAGCGAGGTGGAGAATGTGATGATAATTTGTGCGATATTTTAGGTCGTAAATGAAATGTTTATGAAAAAAACATTTACAATCTCTCACGAAATACAAAACTTCGATGCAAGCGTTGTCGGTTCTATCTTTCGCTAACGTTCGTTGCTAAGTCTGCTTTTCCACAGGCAAATACTGAGTTTGTTGGTGAGAGGGGTGCGAGGAAGAAAAACAAAAATTTGCCTGTTCAGAATTTGCCGTACACGCAAATTCTGCTTTGCTCTGTTCGTTAAAAACATTTTTGACATTTCCTTTTGAACCTATTCGCTTTACTGACACACAGTCGGCTTTTGTTTACAAACCTGTTGCTTTAATTTGTGCAAGTGAAATTTAATTTTTTAATTTTTGCAATTTATATAATATTAAAAAATCTTTAAAATGCAAACACTTTTGACTTTTATTTTCTTTCTTTTGTATTTTGATTCGCAAATTTGGCAAAGAAAAAATTGCTAATGGAAAAGCAAGCGAAAGTTTCAAAAGAGAAAACAAAAAATTTGCCAAATAAAAATCTGCCTGTGGAAAAGCAGACTAAAGAGCGAATGCTCATCCAAACAACAACAAAAAGATCATAATGTAAACACACACATGTCCAATATCCCAACAAATCAAAACGCTATAAAAAAGATTGTATCATAAGTCCTAAGCTTAGAAAAGTGTTATGATTACCACCCAGATAACAATTTTTGCAGAGGTATACAAATTTTTTACGATTATTTTTCGAGTAATCTGCATATACTTTGAAGGTAAATTTAATTGTAAAAATAGAAAATAACAAAAAATCGAACAAATAAACAAAATTGTTGAAAATTTGGCACTGTCGTATTTATACGACAAATAATAATACTGTTTTCTTATACATATATCAATTGATTAGCAATTGTATAGCACGTATGTGTTCAAATTCAAATTTATTTTCACACACATCCGATTTTTAATATTTGGCGTAAAGAATTATATTGTTATATTAAAATATTAGTATCGAAATTGAGCTATATCACTCTTGAATTAGGTATGCCTCTTCATATAATGATAACTACAAATGTTCGGTATTTCTACACGATGTAATCAATATTGGTCCCGCTTTAGGTATATCCTCCAAGGACGTACTCATACATTTTTTTCTGCAATGACAATTTTTATATTGAACCAGCAGTTTTCTCCCAACCCCCCGAAGTGGATGTTGTGATGGCCTTATATAACTGTGACCTCTTAATTACAGTATTTTCGGGATGTTCCACCCTACAATGCGTCGTCAATATCGATTCACTTTTTTGGGTTTTTTTTCGGAAAAATATCCATTAAAAATCGATGTACACCAACACCGAATTGTCGGTATAGGTCCACTTTTTGGTGTGTTCCCAATATTTTTTTTCAAGTACTTGTCAGTATACCTATGGTGGAGGGTATCCCAAGTCCGGCCCGGTCGAACTTAACGTTTTTTTCGCTTGTTAAGTTTGAATTGTTTTCTATTCAACCTTAATCTGGACGTATATTTTTGGTGTATTATCTCGTTTTCTGCTTTCAAATTGTTTTAAACATTTCACAGTGAATTTGTTCGCATTGTTTTAAATGAAGTTTAAAGGTGAGAAAATTAGTTATTCTGAATCAAAGCGAGGTGGAGAATGTGATGATAATTTGTGCGATATTTTAGGTCGTAAATGAAATGTTTATGAAAAAAACATTTACAATCTCTCACGAAATACAAAACTTCGATGCAAGCGTTGTCGGTTCTATCTTTCGCTAACGTTCGTTGCTAAGTCTGCTTTTCCACAGGCAAATACTGAGTTTGTTGGTGAGAGGGGTGCGAGGAAGAAAAACAAAAATTTGCCTGTTCAGAATTTGCCGTACACGCAAATTCTGCTTTGCTCTGTTCGTTAAAAACATTTTTGACATTTCCTTTTGAACCTATTCGCTTTACTGACACACAGTCGGCTTTTGTTTACAAACCTGTTGCTTTAATTTGTGCAAGTGAAATTTAATTTTTTAATTTTTGCAATTTATATAATATTAAAAAATCTTTAAAATGCAAACACTTTTGACTTTTATTTTCTTTCTTTTGTATTTTGATTCGCAAATTTGACAAAGAAAAAATTGCTAATGGAAAAGCAAGCGAAAGTTTCAAAAGAGAAAACAAAAAATTTGCCAAATAAAAATCTGCCTGTGGAAAAGCAGACTAAAGAGCGAATGCTCATCCAAACAACAACAAAAAGATCATAATGTAAACACACACATGTCCAATATCCCAACAAATCAAAACGCTATAAAAAAGATTGTATCATAAGTCCTAAGCTTAGAAAAGTGTTATGATTACCACCCAGATAACAATTTTTGCAGAGGTATACAAATTTTTTACGATTATTTTTCGAGTAATCTGCATATACTTTGAAGGTAAATTTAATTGTAAAAATAGAAAATAACAAAAAATCGAACAAATAAACAAAATTGTTGAAAATTTGGCACTGTCGTATTTATACGACAAATCGGTATTATGAAAGATTCTGTTGACGACAGCATAAAAATAAATAATTTTAAATTTTATTTTAATAATATTAGAGTAACTTCGGGTAATGTGGACTATGCGTCTAATGTGGACC